TATTCTTGACTGCATGCAGTAGCATGATTTACCACAAAGGGAACTCTGAATGTGTCGGACCATATTGCGAAAAACTCAGGAAAAGGATGCAGCAGGGACAGTAATGGGGGAATTCAGGAGTGCACCTGTCAGTTATTACACAAACATTGCCGGAATGCTAAGCTCCTATCAACCTGAAAACTTATCATTACAAATATTTAGACAGGGTGATGCAACCTTGGGAATTCCCACACCAATTTGTAGAGTACAGTGTTTTCAGGTGGGAAATTCCAACATGCTATAGTTGGTTAATGATGGTTTATAGCTACACCTGATGGCCCTTTGGGCACCGGGGAAGTATTCCCAAAATAACCTACATATTGTACAGGTACACTCACCGGGCCTTTCTTATGTGCTGGTACCCAACACTAACAGCTGTACCAATCCAAGCCGATAGGTATTCTCTGGGAAAGAGATTAGCCTTAATAAAAAAAAATAGTTTCTCATTCCCCCTTCATTTTGTTGCAGTTGCCAATTTTTTATCTTTTTCCATTTTTGATTTCATTTCCTTTTTTTTCACATTTGCACATATAGCTGTAAATTTGTTTAAAACATTAGAGCATCTGTACTTAGGCTAAAAAAAATAATTGGTCTCTGGTCAGCGCGCGCGTCATTTCTAAACATGCGCGTCCATTTTTTTTCTCCATTTTTTCTCAAAAATTTCAAAACAGCACCCTCTATTTCCATACGGCCTGAATGTTCACGAGTGGACTGATTCCCGGCCGCAAGTCCTCAAGTCAGAAGGGGAATTTGTTCAAGGAACCAGACTAACTCGTGGGTAGCTCGTACCCAGTGATAGATCCGTTACGACTGCGTAATGTTGATGTCGAACACAAACAGCAGACCGTGGGTAGGTTACAAAGTTGCAGCTAGCTGATCAACAAACAACGGCGGCATGATGTGAGACGTGCTACTGCTAGCCGTTGCTCTTTGATGAAATATGCCACTCATTTCCGTGTCCGTTGCCAGTCTTAAAAATCCAACCCCATCCCCCCCAAAAAAAACCTGCATCGCCGCATCAATTCTGGAACTTTGGTCTGACCAGAGACCAAGTATTTTTTGGTGGGGGGACCTTATACTTAAAAATGTCACTAGAAGAGTCCAGAGAATGAAATCCGTGTGCCATCTTGGAAAAACTCTGCTGTGGAAGTAATTAAAAGAAAAAAACTGACCACCTGTCTTTGTTTTATAAAAAAAAAAACCTGATGAGAAACTTTTTTCACAGTTAGGCCTTGGCAGAGACCTCATTAACATTTGAGCCAACTTGTTTATTTGCCATAGGCAGGAGATCATAAGCATCTTTCCAGCCCATTGTTAGTCCAAGGTTAAGCAGTTCAATCACCAATACCTAGAACAACCCCACAAATGGTACCTGTGTTATTTGATGCAGGGTTGTTGAGTAGCGTGAATGTGAAATCCAGTGGAAAGGGTACAACTTAAAGCAATCATCAGCAGACCCTAAGATTTTCCTAAAGGGAGAGGGGGTGTGATCCTGGATTATCCAAGGGGGGGGTGTGAACTAAAGCAGCAGTGGCAAACTAAAATGCCCACGAGCATGTAGAGTGAAGCCCTTACGGCATGGAGTCCGGGGCCATTTTGGCTTCTAGGTGCTCTCTGTGGTGCAATTTCAGGCAGACGCCTCAGTGTTTGCAGTATGACCCGTCTTTTTCCCTTCTCCCTACCTCCCTCTTTTTCTCCTTTTCTGTTTATTTATTATTCTGTTTGGTGTAAAAAAAAGAGGGGCATGCGTCCCTCATGCCCCCCCCCCCGATCCGCCCCCAGCAATTGCACTCAGTCAAGTTCCGCTCTGGCCCAGATCTGTTGGTTGTAAATGAAAATGTTGTTGTTGGCGCGCACACTCTGTGGGTACACACTCTGGTCTTGTGATTTGCCCCTCTGATCCGCTGGTACATGCAGATGCAGTGCTTGCATTCTGTTGTTGACAGCGTACAGTTCGTTCAAGTGTGAGACCCGCATGTACTGTGTCTGTCATGTGTCTCCCGGCGCGGAATACGATCAAAGGGAATTTCAGTCACTGTGCGTGCCTGTATGCATATTTGATTGTGATCAAAGGAAACTGGAGAAAACGGAGGAGGATTTCAGAATTCCACTGTGTCTTAAAACAGACCAGGAAAAAGGAATCCAAATAAACAACCTCCCTTTTTACGTGTACGTCAAGAACCAGGTTCTAAAAATGTAGGATGTGTTTTCTCTGTAGTTTGTAAGTTTTACACATCAGCCTAATCTTGTACCATGCCGGAGATATTATGTAGGGCCTACATGTTAGACAATCCGTTCCTGCACCCCTTGAGAGACCTTCTTCAGGGGCACTTGCACACAAGGTATGCTCAGCCGTGTACGTGTCCAGTCAAAAGAGTTGCTTCTCTCACATTGTCACAGTTCGCATTGACTGACAAACATGTATCCATTAATTGTGGCTGTACATTCACTTCCTTTTGTCAATCAACAAATTACAATAAAATACTGTGTGTTCCTATGAGCCCCTGTATGACAAAGCTCTGGATTTCCCTTCAAAATGGTTTCACAGTCAGGTATTGAAAGTTTCACTTTTCACCCAAGTGTTCTGAAAAAAAAAGAAGAAAGCAACAACTAAATAGAGTACTCTCCACCCAAGAAAAAAACACAGCTTGGCTTTAAACTGGTTTCCTACATGATAAACATTTACTGTAATCAAAGCAATTGTGGAGTTGTGTCTGTGGAAATGATGTTTAGTTGTTTTTTTTTTTTTTTTAATTCTCTCAAAGGATATCCTGTGGTCTGTCCAATGCTAATTTTATGAAGGCCGGCATTGTAAAGGGATCCCTGATATTGGGACTTTAAAGGAACTTGGTAGCTCCATAAACTGGAGACATGGGTCTATATGTATTGAGGGAAGGTTTGGTTTGGATCCAAGGGCGTATGAACAGTTTGAAATTGTTTGAACATGGCATGTGTGCAATGAGGAATCCTGAGAAGGTCTCGAATCTCTGGCCAAGTTCTAGAGGTCACCTGTCAGTGAAACTGAAAGGATATCCTTGGTTTACTGACAAGTACGTGTAGCAGACTCGGGCAAGTCTAATTGGTGCAGTTTTCCCTATCGTTCTGGCCAGCCAAGGGTTATGAAGTCCACACAGAAATTTTCAAATTTCAAGTACCCATGAGTGTGCAGAGAAGAGGTCAGCAGCTGCACTTGTTGGCAAGTCTATGGTCTGTTCTCTCCCCCCCCCTTGAGTGTCATCAAGCACAGGTCTTTTGGTGGGGCTAGGCCCAGGCAAGCCAAGGTTGACAGGGGTCACTCCATAGCCTGGCTTTCCCTAGTCTTGATTGGCTGATGGGAGGCTCATCAGGGACCACCTCGGATATTTGTTTGTTAATCAATGTCTGGCATGGCTGTGGGCTGGTGATGACATATTGGATTGTAGATTTCTATATAAGCATTCTCTTGCCTTGGCACGCAGGTGCTGTACTTGTTCATGCAGGGACTAGTCACCAAACCAAGGGCTTGGCTCTGAAAGTCAACTAAAACTCCCATCCCCATGAAAGTACTCCAAATTTACAAAATGGTTGAATTACTCCATCGTACATTAACATGTGTCATAAATGTACACGTATGTTTACACGTTAACTCAATTAAAACAACTTCATTATATTGTTCTTCTAGATGAATTAATTAGTAGACGCTCAGTGTACAGCTCTGTTCAAGATCTCCTATGAGGAAACCCTCAAGTGAGCGACAGATTGGCAAGTTGCACCTTGCGCTCCATTTGACCCGTTGGTCAATCTGTCAGTCTTGTTTGAAAAGTATAGTACCTTTGAAGGTGATGGTCCCAGCACATGACCTGTTTAGGGCACTGTGATACTTACCTGTGAAAGCCACACTCTGGTCCGTGCGTCAGATGGCCCCGATGCGGCATGCACTGATAACCTGTAGTCTTCGTTTGAATGTGCACAAAATCAGCATTGATTTCTGTGTGACATCCATTTCTGTCTGCCTCTTGGGCATGTCCTGCAGTGGTTTAATTGCCGGGCTCAAAATGTCCATCGCCTAATGGACAGTAATTCTCAGCAGTGTAGGATTTGTCCCCCCCCCCCAAAAAAAAAGAACCTTAATTATCTTCCCTACCCAAGCTCCTACTGTCCACCCCTCAACAAGGACATTAAATATAGTAGCTGTGCATAGGCCTACAGCATTCACCACAGCTGCCTTAGAAGGACTCTCCTCTGAAGTTATCAGGACCATGAATTCCTGGAATGTAAAACATACTACTGGTGTAGGGGAGAGGTTGAGTGGCTCTGCTGTGTAAACAGATACATGCAGTGGAGAAAAGAATAATCTCTTGTGAGATTGGGAAGTATTCTGTTAAAGGTATTGTATTATTAGCCCATTGGGCCCCAAGTTCAAGTGGACCCATGAAAAAATCTGTGACTCTGAACCAGGATATCATTTCCGAATCAGTTCATTTGTCGGGGGTGAGATTTGTCAGGATTTTTTCTTATTTGGGGGTTTTTGTTTCATCAGGATATTCCTGGGTATTGGGATATTTTGAACAATTGGGAAACTGATGAGATCTCCATCAAGGTGTTTTGCTGATAAAAGTTGGTGCCCGGTACCCAGAGCACAAGAAATGAATATTTTAAGGGATGCCTTAGGCAGATGACAAATTAATGCTTACCATAGACCCTACGCCGCTGTGGGACTCTCATAACCTCTGGTGATTGTTTCTCGGATATGTCATTTTTTCTCCTGCATGCACTGCCTGCTTACCACTGACATTTAAACAAGAATTCATGACATCCTAGATTTGTATTGTACTTGTAATATGTGACATTATTGGCTTTGTACCTGCCCAAGACTGATGACATTTGATCTATCATATGACGCCCTTTGATCTATTTATAGAATGTGATGTCATCATATCTATTTGTAGCGTGTGATATCATTTTTTTCAACTTCTCTGCAGCTGTGCGGTTGTGCCCTTCTTGGTGTGGGCCTGTGGCTGTGCTTTGAGCCCAGTGTCCAGCAGTACGCGACGGCGTCGGGTGACTTGAAGGAATACTACATCGCTGTCTATGTCATCATCGGCGTTGGTGGGCTGATGATGCTGGTGGGCTTCCTGGGGTGCTGCGGGGCCTGCATGGAGAACACCGTCCTCCTGGGCATGGTAGGTGGCCGGGGGAGGGGAGGGGCTTTCTCATCCCCTTATCGGTCTCTGCACCTGAACTGAAGAGGGCGCCCTTCACAAAGATGGTCACTGGGTGCTACTTGCATTTTGCTGGCCCTGCTTTGTATTGCATGTCACCATGACAACTTAGGAATGATTGGGGATTTCTTCAATCTCACAGGGAGGCCATTTTTCAGCCAAAGAGCTGATACATGTATCAGGCTTTTCCTAAACAATGCTGGGTTTGTTTCAGGCCCGAACAAGGCCTCTGGGCAAGCACCCGACTACCATCCCTTAATAGCTTGTTTGATTGTTTGAGGGTCCACCTTCAGGCCACAGTGTCATAAATTTCAGTCTCTCAGGTGACATCATCCAGCTCAGTGTGCCAACATGAAACCAGAGCTGTGGAGTATTCAGGCTGGGTTACTCCAGTGGACATTTGAAGCTGGTGGTAGAACTGGAGATAGAGCCACATCAGATACGAAGCCAAGTTTTGGAAAAGGGCCAGTTATACGTTTAGAGGAGAGGTGGTGTTACTCAAACAGCAAAAGCCTAAAGGGAATTGATTGACAGGTGCAACATGTTAACTCCAAATTTAGCAAATTGATCTCATTATACCCTGCTTGTAATGTTGACAATTTCAACAGTTGAAAACAACTTTCCCACCTCAATTGCATTCTGACGTGTTTAGCTGGGATGTAGGTTGAATCCCGTTGAAAGGGATGATTCACATTTTAACTGAAAATGGCTTATCATTTTTTTCTCTAGCCAAATTTGAATTGCATGAAATAGGTGGCTGTCCAGAATATCAGACTCTTGAATGAGTAAGTGGTTATTCATTATACATGAAAGTGGACTTCCTGATTATTGGTTCCCCGCTATTTGTCTTGGCTCAGTTCTTCACTTTCTTGCTGCTGATCTGCGTAGCTGAGGTTGGCGGTGGGATCTGGTGCTATCTCAACAGGGAGCAACTCAAAAGCATTGTGGAAAAAGGTAGGCATTCAGACATGCGCAAGATAAGCGAAAACCAGCTGCTGTAGGGCAGCAGTGGGCGACGGTGGCAGAAGTGGGATTTCCAAATGTTGTCCCTGTGTGGAAGCACTGGCTGTCATTTGTGTATTGTTATGAATCACATGAACGAATCTTGGTGCTGATTCTCAACTGCTAGGAATAAATCCACAGGCATGTTGAAGCAAATGAAGGGACCACCGTGGCTCAAGATTTTTCTTTCCACCCATGCTTGTTGTGCGTGGTAAGAAAGTTTGGCGTAACTCATGAATGCAATTGGTGGCAGAAGTGGGATACAAATTTTGTAGGAAACAGGATAGCAGGTGCTACTTTTACAAATGGGAGGACTTGAAGCATAGTGAATGTAGCAGAAGCGAGACAGTAACAATCCTCAAATTATTATTGAAGCGTAAATGTATCTGTACCCTGTGCTAGACAAGTGTGTTATGTAAAATTCATTTAATAATGCCACAAGATATCGTCATCTCTGAAAAGAACAGTCAATTGTTTGCAGGTGTAAGTTTAGTCTCTGTTTTCCTGTGTGTATACAGGCATACTCAGCACAATTCGGGAAGCTTACCAGGAAGATAATCAAGTGATCGTCAAAGCGGTGGATAACATGCAACAGCAGGTACATGTACATTCAGGTTTCCTAGATGGTCGGTGTAGACCTTATCTCTCGGAAACTTCAGCCCAAAATGTCATGAAATTCTTCCACCCCCCTACCTGCCACCAAGAAGCCTAGTGATGCAATCTTGATGCGACAACTTCTCAAAAAGGCTTTGAGCCCTGTGTTAAGTGGTAGTGATGTGGCCAGGCAATCCTCGATGGGTCAACTGAAATTCAGTATGGCTACGTGTACCGTTAAGGCCCAGTCGAGATGCTGCGTACGCAGCTGTGCCAAATGCGAAGGAAGTGACTTTGGCACAGTGTAGATGCGGCATCTTGACAGCAATGGGGGGGGGATTGAGGTCAGCCCTGTCAGTGTGTTCAGGCACGGACTTGCACACTTGATTTGTTCTGAAGTAACCCTACCTTGTTGAAATACTGGACCGGCTCAGTGTCGGTTTGACTGCCCTGTGAAATGTGACGAGTGTAATTGGTCAGATCGCAAATGATGATGTTATGACTTGTTTTTCTGATATGAAGCTGAAGTGTTGCGGAGCGGTGGGTCCCAATGACTGGGAAGACTCTGCCTACGGCCGACTGCCCGACTCCTGTTGCAGGGGAGAAACTGAAGGCTGCACGGAGGGCATATCCTTCCCAATAACCCTCTTGACGGTCTACAATGAAGTAAGTATACACAGGCCACCTCCACGGAGAGGGAGTCCCAGATTGGCTGGGTCTTTGCGCCTCTGCGGCCCCGGTTGGATCCCCGGCCTGGTCCGTGATGGGGACTTGGTGTTTACAATCCCTCGCCGATTCCATAGTTTTTTTACCCGGAATATTCTTCCAGGGTTTTCCTCCCGCTCCTTTTAACTGTGACTGCTTGGAAACATCTCCTTTCTGCAGGACTCTTCATGCTTATCTTGAAGCTACAGTTCCTAGGGTATTTTAAGGAATCCTTGGTTTCCAGAAATGCTTGATAATAGTAGTAGGGGAAAGTGCTCTTGGCCCTTCCCACTTTCACCCAGTCACACCCCTTGCTGTCGTTTCAACCTCCCTTGATGTTAGTTTCTTTCGAGTGGTCATCATTGTGGGTGTTTCCTTCTGTCTTGGGCAGGGGTGCACCTCGGCTCTGTTCAAGATGCTGGAAGACAATGCGGTCCTCGTGGCTGGACTTGCCATCGGCATAGGAGCCGTACAGGTAAGGAATGAACTTTTTACGAGTCAAGATCATTGAAATATGTGTGGTGAATGCAACCAGTCGATTGTCAAACAGTGACAGAATGTTTTGTGTGGGCCATATGCCTCTTTTGCCTACTCACAATACATGGCTATGAAATGTTCAGCCAAGCTAAAAGTCAGTGCATAGTGCTTATTTGCTTCCAAGTCCCATTGTTTGGGATGTAACAATATTATCATCTTGATGGGTGCAAGTGGAAGATGGGTGCAGGTGGAAGATGGGTGCAGGTGGGAGATGGGTGCAGGTGGAAGATGGGTGCAGGTGGGAGATGGGTGCAGGTGGAAGATGGAAAGTGTTTGTAACCATGTGGGGTACAGACATACTACATTATTTTTGTTCCACAAGCGCTTGATAACAAATTTAGTTTCAAGGGAATCTTATTTGCAGTATAATGACTGAATGTACATTCTGTACTCGAGAAAACACTGGAACTTAATGAGTATGCATGGCGGCAGATGCGTGACTTTTGACTTCGTGTTTTGTGTCGGGGTAGAGTATAGCAGCACTGTACAGGAAGTTAGAACATATGGACCATCACACTTTTGTTGCCGCGGATTTTAACCAATCAGCATTAACCCCTTCGCGCCAGGATTCTTTTGACGGTGACTGCTGGGCTGTGGTATGCCCAGTATGCAAAGCTCTGTCCAACAGCAGGCCCACATGGTAACCGCAGGTGCATGGTGAATAGACTGTATGTGTGGTATGCACTAATCCTCACACAAAGCCACGGCTCTTGCCGTCTCCCGGAGCGAAGGGGTTAAGGATTCAAGTTTGCTTGCAAGATATTTCTGTGTACCAGTATCGTCTTACGAGAATGCCGCACTACAAAATTGCAATACGACAGTTCTAGATCCGAGAATCCCGCGTCCAGACTGGTCTGTATAGACGAAATGGCAGTTGAGTGGAAGTGTGTCCGATCATGGGTGAATGATCACTCTGTGGTTTATAAATGCTATTGTCGTGCGTCTAACATTTAGAGACGTTTATTTTGCCCCTTTCTGCTCGCCATAGCTCCTGGGCATGCTGTTCTCACTCTGCCTGTGCTGCGCCATCAGGAGGGCCGACAGGGAGAAGTCCTATCCTCTCTAGACACCAGAAGCCCATGCCATTCCCATGCCAGGGGGTACACTTGATATTGCCATTCAAATGCCACAGGGGTGTCAAGTTCGACTTTTTTAATCTTCTGATGAACTAAAGAAAGTGGTTTTTTTTTATAGTCAATCCGTTGAATGGATTGGAATTTTACATATAACAGCATTTTTAAAAACGATGGCTTGTTGATCATTTAGTCAAGCCGTCAGTTGATACCAAAAGGAAATTCGTGTTCTTAACAATTTCTGGAAATGTCTGAAAAACACCTGCCCCTAACCCGAAGGGAAGCGGCACGTTACTAAACAAGCCCACTGGTACATGAAAATTGTTCAGTTCTTGTTCATCATGCCAAACAAAAGGTAGCACTCAAACATACGTCTCCAGGTTTTTATTGATCTTGTTTTCTTATTTTGACTCAGCGACCTGTAGTGGTATTCTCAACTCTCCCAAGTCCTCTATGTGATGTCCTTGTACATAAAAAACCCTGCAGTTCATCAGAATAATCTAGCCTTTGTTTTCCAGGAATGCCGTTTATTTGGATAAACAAATGACACTCCAACCCTGTTAGCTAGATTTTGTATATATACATGTACATCAGTATGTGGTGTCTTCTTTCATTAGTTTTTGCTGGTCACAAACTGGCAATTTTTATTTCGTTCTCTTAAATGGTACAATGTACGTTATTCTGTCAGGAGCTGTGGTTTACATTGTGATTAGGATTCAACTTCGGGAGATTACTTTCATGAGGGAACATTAAAATTAATAGCAGACCTTTTTTAGTGGAAAGAAGTGATCTCTGGTCTGGTACTCTGACTTCTTCATGCACTGCTTTGCTTAATGCTTACTGATCTACAGTAGCATAGTCCCAATGTCATCTGCGGCTATGGCCACTCACTATAGCAAAATCTGAATCAGAAACATAAGCCACAGCCATAAAAGATCTGATTTAGATACAGCTTCCAGATCACAGTAACTTGCTCATGTATCACTGAAAGAAGAGTTTATACGGTTTGATACTTGCAACAGGCTTAAACAAATGTCTGTTTGAACTATTGTTACATGGTCCGTTTATTATTTTGAAAGTTCAGAAGTTTTCCTGGATTCTGCCCGTATAATCTCAAAGTAAGCCACAGCCCATCTGAGCCCATTTTGATCACAGTTTATACTATTTAAGAATAGCTGTTAAACGCAAAGATCGTATAGCGCCGCGAAGGGGCGCAAGATGGCGAACTTCACCGTGAATACACGTAGAACGGCACCGTTTGAGCAAGCGATACGCCTGCACAATGCACATTAATGCACAGACGCAGGTGCCGCGGCAGGCATGTACACCTGGTGAGCCTGCGCCCAAGCATTACCGTAAACTGCGCAGGCGTGTGGCTTGCTCAAATGGCGCCCACGGTAATTACATCTTTTGGGCAGAGTTATCCATCTTGCGCCTGCGGCGCTATACGATCTTTGGTCAAAAGTTTTCATCTTTGTATATTGAACATGTAAATGTACTCCTAACTGTAATGGATTTTACTTGATATCTGTAGTACTGTAAGAAAAAAGATTGGTAGTTTGTAGTATATTTTTTAAGAATGTGCTCTTTGGATTAAATGACTGTAGGATATAGAGCAACCCCCAAGATGAGAGTAGAATATTTAAATGTCACATTTTGTGTCTCAGTGGGCAGACGATCACGTTCCCAGTTTTTAGAGAGTCAGGTTGCCATGGAGAAGGAGGCCATATGCGCTCTTGGGAAAGACCACAGCAGCATGCGTGTAATGTCACCAAGCGGATACCGAGCTTGAAGCAACCGCACAGGACCATTTCTCTCCCTCGGACTCGGTGATAAAGCCACTCTCCGATACGCGTAAACCTTTTCTGCACCGCCGCCAGGCTTGCTGAACTCCACTGCACTAAACCACGACGACAGAGCCACCCTGTAATAGTTGAATGTACAGTAACGGAGAACTGATTTTTGTCTATTTGGGTAAGTCTGTATCCATCTGCAATCAACCCCCCCCCCTTTCACCGCCCTTATCCTGCCCCCCCCTCCACTGCTCTCTGCAGACAGTAATAATTTGTATGAATCACCAATGAACTCTGCCAAGCATGAAATGCTGTCGATAAAAATGGAATTTCTCAGTCAAATATTTCGGTACTTCGATTTGTTGACATCCCATACAGTGTACATGTTTAACGACAAATTTTACGACGTTTAAAATGTTACTGCATTTTCCAGTCTTTCAGTTTGGGAACAATATCAATTTATTGAGGGCCATGAGTGGAGCACACTTCACCGGCAGTTGACTTCGTAGGCTGCTTCGCAAGGCCCTGGCTACGGTTGTTTGTAACACACGACCGTACGGATGTTGCTGGCTTGCAGCTGAGTCACTTCTCATAGACATATTACTGACAGCCCGAAGCCCAAACATTCATATGTAAAACTTGACGGATTTATCTGGTCAGACAGTGCTATCGTTCAGTGATCTACTACCAAACAGATAAAAACAGACAAACAAACCGCGTATAAAGTTTAGTTTGAATCTTTACTGTTGCCAACACAGATTCTCTCTCAAATGTGTGACTTGGTCTGTGAGAATTCAAGTTGGGCGGACCGTTCACAATTTGAAGCCATCTAGCGCATGTTCACTGGAAAAATGCCCAGATATCAGTTGATAATTTTGCCCAAAGAAAGTTTTGCAAATTAAAAAATTCTATGAAGGGTGTTCCTTGTTGAATCGTCTGGCTGTAGGCTCGCAAGAAAGAATTTTATAAAACAACCAGAAATTAATGTACGTACCACTGTTATTCAGTATTGGTCCCGTTGTATTTATGGAATTGGGTGTATTTTTGTAACTTTAATGTTTTTATATCGTGTAGTGTAAACGGATTAAGTAGATTTTAGGCAACAGAGCTCCAGGTTACTTGGACCCATCAGCCTGAACACAAGAGATTTATTGGCCAATATGACATGCTTTGGTGTAGCAAAGAATTTACATTTTACCAGCCAAAGTTATAGTTCCGTGCTCTACGTCCAGAACTGGCTCCCATGGCCCAAAACTGGTTTCCATGGCCCTAAGGTCCGAATTTGGGAGTTCAGGTGTTGGATGCAAGCAAACCTGGTGCAATTTTATGTATTAAATGTGTGTCCGCCTTAGTCAACTGTGATGCTAACACAGGTGTCTATCGCAGTGAATTGGAGAGTGCCATATTTCTTCAAAGCCAGAACAAATATTTCTGTAGTATATCTATGTTTATTCTCTGAAAAGGAACATTATATAATCACGCATAGATCTTTCCACATCAAAGGTCTAGGGGTGGCTAGTAGGCCTCGGATGGCCATTTGATGAAACAGCTATGTAACTGTGCAAGAACATGCTACTGCATATTTATCCGTTGCAAGCTGTTGTCGAATCAATGAGAAAACGATGGCCGCCCATAAAATGGCGCATATTTTTGTAAAGTTCATTCATTCTCAGTTTCATTTGTAAGCCCAACTTACAACAATATTTGATAAGAAATTTGCTTCCAACCTTTTTGTCCGATGTGGGTCAGTAGAGGGCGCTGGTGCGTTTCAAGAAGCAGACTAGTCGTGAATGGACGAGTGTTGCGTTGCACACGTAGTCGATGTATTTGTGAACCATATGTCGTATCTTGCCAACTGTGTCCGTGCACATTGTAAAGATGCCCTTGTCCAGTTTCTAGTACCAATTAAATTATTGCGATTCTGAATACATGCATCAGAAATGGATTTGTTTGATGTGAAATCGTTAATTTGAAGTTTTTAAATGCATGTAGGTGAACACGTCGCAACCAAAATGACTCCTTTACGAATACTCATAGTGAGATAGGCCTATAGGCAAAATATAAATTTGTTAAATTATAACCCAAATGTTATTTCGACCTTCGACTGCTGAAATTCATCTAGTGAACTACAGAATAGGTGTCATATTGCCGCAAACTTCCACAGATTCCGAAACCCGCAGAGATCGTGGATTTTTTGCTGTAGCGCGCCGATCTGTTAAGAATGATTCCACATAAATACAGAGTCTTTGCCCGATTTCCTACAAATTTTGGTCGTCCGAGCACCGTACTTGTGTGCAACAGAGCCCGCAACAATTCCTCAACTTCCTTAGAATTTAAGTGCTTTAGGCCCACCTATAGACCTTTGGATGGCTTCGAACAAACTTACCTTCTTAGACCCAAATATCGATCCGAACCATAACGAGAATCCAACAATAAACTTCCAAAGTACGATCCGATAATTCATGGTTTTTGGAATTCGAACGACGACGTCGGGATCGCCGGTAGTCAGATGACATGATGCAGAACTTCCCTAAGACCGAGGTTTGTTCCAAGGTTTTCAGTTTCTCCCGTTGAGTCTTTTAGATAAATATACCAGAAGAACTTCTCTTATTGGGGACCCAGATTAGAAAGTCGTCAGAGGCCTCGGTGCGGAACGCAGAGGGTCGCGGTTCGAGTCCCGGTCAGGGCAACCTGCACCAGGGAGGAGTCCCACGGAGCGTCGTGTAGCTAACTAGATAAAATAAAATAAAATGAAGATTTTACTCTTTTTATGCAACCAAGCACAGTTGGAGAAAAAGTAAAAGGCACCCTTGACGATCCCGGGATTCGAACCCGCAACTTCTGGTTTACAGATCCCACGTGCCTCTCCACTAGGCCAACTCTCTCGTCTTACTTTCCCTGGTTAAAAGATAAATATAAACGTTTTAGTGTACACAACCAAACAACACTCACTTGGTTAAGTCAGCGCGCATGCGCTGTTTGGATAAAGTTCTGTCACGCAATTGGTCTAGACGGCAGGCATGCAAACTTTTTCTAGCCAATGAGAAATCTGCAACTTGGAATTCTTCCTTCACGCGTTTTCTTTTAAAAGTCAGGGGACATAATTTTAAAGACAAGACCTCCATTGAAAAGAATTTGACAGGGGGAAACCAAAATGAAAATGTTGCAAAAGCATTCAAGTTTTTGTTTGATGAACAAGTTTGCGATCAAATAAACTTTTCCAACGCGATGCATACATTTTTGGTCTTGATACATCCGAGATAAAAAAATCAGAGTTTTTCTTTTGTAAACACTTGACGATGCTTTCAGATTCTTCAGTGGGAAAAAAGGGGGGAAATTACGGATTAAAATGAGTCACTAAAAATACAAGTGAACACGTGAAGCATGCCAAAATAAAACAATTTTTATAAAAAGACAATGTTTTACAGTTTATTAGGAACGTCCAGTACATAATCGGGGTTGTCCCAGCCCCTGTTACGCGGAGGTACACCGAGAGGGATTTAATGTAAGAGTCACAATAACTTTGTTCAAGGTTCAACTAGTGGTTGTTAGGTAGCCTATTCAAAACGGTTGCCCCTCATAACACACCATGGGCCACTTTCAAAATCTTGGCTTCATTTCCAACTTGCCTCGAGCTCTTCTTGAGCTCTCGAATCATTTATCAAATTTGACTGTGGGAACCAAGTGGAAGTACTCAATTTGGTCCTGTCTTCGGAAGTTTAACGTTCCTCGTTCGGGCCTCAAATATGGATGGGGTATAAATATATGAAAACAGAAGACAATTGGATAGGAAAATGAGGTGAAGATCTTGGACAGTACGATCACTAAAGTGAAAAAAACTGTGCAGTTAGTTCTACGGAGAGAAAGTTAAAAGGTAATATAGCGGACAATTATTTTGCCTCAAGCCGTTTGTTTTCATCTTATCTTGGTTATTCAAATTTTAAATGCTTTAAAATTACAAGTATTTTGATGAGTGCTATCTCATAGAGTGTCACTGAGGTCTCACGCTTACGAAAATCGATTTTCTTGCAGTGCCCATGATTTCTTCAATGTTCTCTTTAATCTTTTTTTCCCTAGACATTCTCTTTGTAAACGCATTGACTACGTAAATTTCTAACCTCAAACGATAGCCAAATAGTTTTCCCTTCAACGTCTGGGCTTTTGATTTCACTGCCGTGAAACATGGGCAGACGTGACGTCAAAAAACATGCACCTTCCGCGAGTATAGCACCCACATTTTGAAACCTACTGACAAAGATTACTTGAAATTGGCTACTGCTAAGTTGAGCAATTGTGCTCAGACAAATCTTCACCTTTACTACGGAGACGGTTCCTCTAGAACAATTCATCTACCTTTTGGATTTTCAAGAATCTCAGCCTATACAAGCGGAAGAAACTATATTGTTTTTTACGATTGCTACCTTTAAAATACACTTTCACTTGTT